TTTGAAGAAGAGTCTTGGGGGGAATGGTTAAGTTGGTTGCACTGGCAAGGTTGGTGCCTACGTGTTGGATAATTGCTGTTATAAGGGGCATGGTATGCCTGAAAGGAGGTGCATTGAAACCTGCATCCCCGGCCAAGAGAAGGCTGCTGGAAGTGCCTGGGAAAATACCTTGGTTTAGTTGTGGTATATTGTTGCGTCACTAATCCCAAGGATTTTGCAGTAAACGTGGTCTTCCTGACCCTCTCCAGGACATCATCCATCTGTTCACTGAAAAGGAGCTTACCCTCACAGGGTTGAGGATGGTGGTACAGAAAATAAGCATCCTCTTCCCTGATCTTATAAAGTTTATCCACTTTCCGAGTGGAAGAATTGTTGGAGGAAGGTCTAGCTCAGGTATTTGTGGTAATCTCTTTAATTCCTTTCACTAGGGAAACTGCAACTGGCCCCAGGTCAGTACAGTACAAAATGTCCATTACTGGATCCTCCTCAGCTGACTTTGATGGAGAGTATTCAATCTTCAGAGCCTTCACCATCCTGAGCAGCTGCTCAGAGTACACTCTTAAGTCCTCTGTAGGAAATACAGGACTTGGATCTGTTGGAAATATATGTTTATTGCAAGGTCTAATTCAGTCATTATAGGGTTCACCTTGTGTACTATTGTTTAGCCTGACCCGGAAGGAAACCTGGCACAGAGCCAATGGAAAAATAGCTCGGGAAAACTGAAGTCTGTTTTGTAACATTGATTGGTTAATGCAATCAGGTGATTTCCTTCTAAGGGTCAAGAAGAAGAAGAATCTCCATTGATGTGGGACCATGTGGTCTGTCTGTTTGTAGCTGTAAAGATGTGAAGATGCAGTTCTAGGTATCTATTTTATTTTGTAGGTTTCCTGTGTACCCTTTCCCCTTAGAAATAAAGATTTTTAAACAGAAAGAAATGCCTCCTCTCCAGTAAAGCAAAGATCCATTGCAAACCTCTAAGTACATAAGTATTTTTTGCCTATTTTCCCAACAGGATCCCCCACCACTTCATCAGGGGAAGGTAGAGATGTGTGTTCTGATTCAACATCTGAACCAGCATCTGGCACAGGATCCGAGGTGATGGGGGACACCCCTTGCCCAACTGGAGAACTATAACGCTCACGAGACCTTGAGCAAGTAAGGGATTGTTGGCGCTGTGGGGCTGGGCTTCGGCTCCTATGCCCGCTTTAACTGTGACTGGATGATCTGCTGTGGTACCACAGAGGGATGAACCAAGGAGGCCCCTGGCCCCACAATGGAGGGTACCCCAAGCCAGTGTGTCAGATCTCCTGATGCTACATGAGTGGGACCTAGGGGAGCCCTTCAAAGTCAGTGACCCTGATGTCATCTGGTGAGGAACGAGATCTCACAGAGTCAGGTGTGTGCAGTTCACGGCATCAAGACCCTTTGGAGCTCAATCCCGAAGACCTACAACATCGAGAGATGGGACTTTGCCGTCGTGTCAACCTCGATCGTTGAGGAGCGGCCACCGGCAACCGGTTTTGCTGATGGCGGAAGCGCCGTTGCTGTCGAAAGCACGATTGATGCCAACGCTAAAGTGCTGGGTGGCATGGCTGACGGACTGACAGAACTGGAGGCCAAAACTCCTAGTGGAGGCGGTGTTGGGGGCGCACTTTGTCAGGCTGCAGAGCTGCTGGAGTTGCCTTGCCTGCATTAGACTTCATCTTTTTCACAGGAGGCTGGGAAGAAGTGGATGAGCTCTGAGATGTCCCTGCTGAGCGTTGCTTCAGGTGATGGGACTTATCAAGTGCTCACCAAGGCATAGGAGGCATTTTAAATGTTCATCATTAGAAGCCATTTAAGTACCACAGGACTGGCACTTTTTAAACAAGGTCATGGCACCCGTCTGAATAAAACAGCACAGGTTTGTGATTTCTTGTCTTATTTTAACAGTCTGAGGTAACTAGTAGAATAACACTTTGGAACATCCTTTCCCTATGGTGGCAGAAAAAGGACTGAGGGAATAGTGCCTCCCCCTCCCCTCACCACGTGACTGGTGGGGAAAACAAGCTAGGGCTCTCCTCTAAAAGGGGAGGAGCACTCATCTTTCCTTATATATAATTGGGTAGTGGGATGGCACTTTCTGAACATTCCACACGCTCCTAAATCAGTTGGCTCTATGATGTGTTACTCAGAAGCTGTTCCTATCCACTGGCTGCGTTGCCTGAGTCCCGCCTACAGTGTGCTCCATCAGCCATTGGCCCGTCAGCCGCCACTGAAGAGTACTCGTGTGCCATTGGCTGGGAGCTGGGTCTGCTCCTCTTCCACCCGCACTCCAGCCACTGTTCCCTGTCAGAATACGCTCTCTCTGCTAAGGAAGACACTTCGCCTGCTTGGCTCCTCTGTGGGACTAACTTTTCCCTCAGTGGCTGTTGGTAGGACACCAAGCTTGGTTCTGTCAGTAAAAAGACAAAGAAATGAAGCCCTTTCCAGGCCTTTGTGAGGAACTCATTGGGGTTGCAAGCTCCAGGTTGGGAAATTCCTGGTGAGTCCTTTGAGTCCTTCCGCCCCCCCCCCAACGCTGCCCTCCACAGGATTCACCCCCCAAATCTCCAGGTATTCCCCTACTCAGAGCTGGGAACCCTACTTTCCCCTCAGTGCCTGTTGCTAGGCAACCAAGCTTGGTTTTGTCAGTAAAAGGCTCTTTCCATGCCTATTTTGGCCTTTGGGAGAAAACTCATTGGGGCCAGTCCTGACTAGGTTTGACAGCTCCAGCTAGGGAGATTCTGTGTCTAAGGAAACCAGTCTAAGGAAGCCAGAGTCTGGGGAGGGGAGAGGCCTCAGCTGAACAGAATGCTATAGAGGCTACCATCCAAAGCAGTTAATTTTCTCCAGGGGGAGAAAGAGATCTGTTGTCTGGAGTTCAGTTATGATACCTGGCAATCTCCAGGCTCCACTTGGAGGTTGGCTACCCTAGGTGTAGCAGTCAGTGCTTCAGAGCAGAGTCTGCTAGACCCAGGTTCTTGCTGTGGAAACTAACTGGGTGATTTTCAACCAGTCACAGACTTTCAGCCTAACCTACCTCACAGGGTTATTGTGCAAATCAAAAGGGGGGGAGGAGAATGATGTAAGCTGCTTTGGTCCCCATTGCAGAGAAAGACTACTTTTCCTCCTGGGGAACCATTGTTGCCAATCTCCAGGCGAGGAAGCCAAAAATGAGAGATCATGGGAGGAAGTAGAATTCCAAAAATAACATCCATGACAAAAATAACAAAGAGTCAATAAAGATAAGTTGCAAAAACGTTTACTGTACTAATTTCTATATAAAATTTTCTTCTATTATCACTCACACGCGAATAAATACTGCGCAATGAACAATTCATTTCACAATATTTGCTTTCATACTTCTAATATATTTGAAGAAAGTTTTATTGTTGGTCTTTATGTTTTTTGCTATATGCTCCTCATATTCCCCTTTTGCCTGCCTGATCACAGACTTGCATTTTATTTGCCACAGCCTATGTTCCCTTTTACCAACCTCACTGAGACTAGCTTTCCACCACTTAAAGGAATCCTTCTTACCTCTTACAGCTTCCATTAGTTTTAACCATGCATGCCTTTTTCTATACCTATTTGTGCCTTTCCTAACCCGAGGTATATATTTTTTCTGAGCCTCTAGGATTGTAGTTTTAAATAGTCTCCAAGCTTCCCCAATGGTTTTGACCTTTTCTACTTTTCCTTTCAGTTTCTTCCTCACATGTCCCCTCATATTAGAGAAGTTACCCCTTTTAAAGTTAAAAGTGGTTGTGTTGGTCTTTTTGGGCAACTCCCTATGTATACAAATGTTGAATTCAATAACATTATGGTCACTGTTCCCAAGCGGTGTAATCACTTTTACATCTCTCACCAGGTATTGGATGTTACTTAGGACCAAATCCAGGATCGCTGTCCCGTGGTAGGTTCTGTGACCATCTGCTCCACAGCACAGTCACTGAGAGCGTCTAGAAACTCAAATTCTTTTTCCCAACTTGAAGACAACAGTACATAAAAGAGGGAAGTTTGGAACATTATTCTCAGAGTTTCCAGCCATCACCAACTGTGAACCAGTGAGCTTTTTGAAAATCATTGAATGGCGATTTGAACAGAAAACATGTATGGACAGGTGCTCATAACTGACAGAAGGGGTGGGCAGGGTTAGGTCAGATGCTAGGGCTTCAGTGCTCTCCAGCAGCCATCTCTTCCTACCGTCAGTGCTCAGCTTTCCTATGATCTCTAGAAGCAGCATAATATGTGAACAATTATGCACCCACAAAATGTAATTTGCATACATTTTTCTGAACACCACACACAGGTTTATCAAGCATGACATTTAGAGTATTGTATGGCACAGCTCAAACAGGCTTAACTTATGGCATATATATCAAAGTGTTTAAGATGTGTTCTCTTTGTAAAGGTAAAGGTTTCCCTTGCTCAAAAGCCAGTCGAATCCAACTCTAGGGGGCGTTGCTCATCTCTGTTTCCAAGCCGAAGAGTCAGCACTGTCCGAAGACTTCTCTGTGGTCATGTGGCCGGCATGACTAAATGCCGAGGTGCAGAGAACGCTGTTACCTTCCCACCAAAGCAGTACCTATTTATCTACCTGCAATTTCTTGCTTTCAAACCACTAGGTTGGCAGGAGCTGGGGCCAGAGACGGGAGCTCACTCTGTCACGCGGCACTAGGGTCTCAAAGTGCTCAGCTACCAACTTTCCAGTCTGCAGTTCAGTGTCTTAACCTCTGAGCCACTGCGGCAGTGTTCTCTTTGTACACTGAGTCAAAAGCCACAAGACTGCAACTTGTATTAGAGACTGCCAAAGGAACCTCTCCCTCTAGATTGCACGTTTGATCTCCATGCACCATGTCATACCTTTGTAGGAAGGTCTCTTATGATAGCAGGGTTCCTACCAAGGAACCAAAAAAAAAAAAAAGTGATATCACTGTCTGAAGTATGTGACTAAAGGAGAAGGAGAAGAGGCTACATACCCTTCAGCATCCAGAAGGTCCTCCTCATTGCGGTAGCTTAGCACATAGAGAGTAGACATGGACACCACACTGGGAAAGAGGAGGAAAAAATAAGCATCCAGAAATATAGGGTTTCAGCATTTCAGAAAGAAAAGAAGTTCTCTACACACAGCACAATATAAGAGTCTATGAATGAGGCCAGCTGAGCCAGGCCCCTGAAAATTGCCATTATCTACTTAGTTTAGGTATAACAGCTGCAGAGAAAGAATACTGCAGTCTGTGCAATTGCACTAGTCAGAAACAGACTGGCACGTCTGGACAATTTAATGGGAATGAGGGTCAAAGTAGATGAGGTGCTGGGAAAGTCATGACTGGATCTCCCACTTTTTTCCTTTTTAAAGAGTCCATATAGAGGAGGGGTGGGTGTCCCAAATCAGGAAAGCAGCACTGGGGAACAGAGCTATTTAAATTCTCCCTTCCCTGTCTTGCCTTGCTGAGGGAAAGAGACAGATACTTGTAGGGTGCCTGTATGTTTTATCCTGCAGAAAACAGAGATGCATTTACCTGAAATTGTTGTTCATCAATGTCTTCTGTGCAGGCACACATTGGGACTGTGCCTGCACAGGCCAGCCGCCAGACATTTTCTTTTGTAGCTTGAAAACTCCAGAGGGAGCACTCCACCCCTTTCGGAGCTGGCACATGTGCGGGATTCCCGTCCAATGTGTCATGTGCTCCGATGGCAGGTGCCCCTTCCCTCAGTTCCCGCTAAGCCACTGCGAGCTTTGTCATTATTATCTATCTGTTGTCATTATAATCAATATATACATATTTGGCACAATAGCCAGTTGAGAGCTCATGGTGGGGCAGGAAGGACAGATGAGTGTGTGCACAGAAGATGTCAATGAACAACAGTTACAAGTAAGTGCAACTCTGTTTTTATCTTCCGTCTTCTCGTGCCGTGCCACATTGGGACCATTCACAAGCTGCTCATCAGAAGGAGGTGGGGTGAGTCTCTCACTGGAACAGAGCCTACAGAATAGCCTTTCCCACATTCACTTCTCTTCATGCTTGCAGGTCCATGGCATAATGCCTCACAGTCAGACTAGGGCTGGTTTATGGCTTCACTGATCAATGTATTGTATTTTATGGTCTCCATCTGGTTTCTGTTCCTATGCTTATCGATGCCCTCGCTGCCATGCCATTCCTGTGGGGAGGGGGAAGGTGTGAATGTCTGGATGTGTGAATGGGGGAGTAGGCTAGCTGCTTGCTTTGTAACATCCTTTCCCATAACAAGTGTGCCTCAGGGAAAGACTTTCACAGCAGGTCGTCCTTGAAGATAAGACTTTCACATGGCCAGTTGAACTGATGTATCTGTTAGGGCTGGAGTTAGAATAGCCTGCAAAGGGGTGTGTGTGAATGATGATTGAATGGAATGTGGGGTTTGACTATACCTTGAGCTACTTTCACTTTGTGCCTTAGTCTTAGCAAGGATTTTTATCCTTGCAACTTTCCAAATCTCTTTCCAATAAAGCTGTGGTGGCAAACCTATGGCACGCATGCCAGAGGTGGCACTCAGAGCCCTCTCTGTGGGCACGCGTGCCATCGCCCCAACTACCTGGGTGGTCCCCGATTGGGCAGTTTGAATGGAAGGTGGAGCCCCAGGGTGGAGCAGGAGGGTTCAGGATCTGGAATGAGAGACCATAGAGTGGAATGACAGCCCCTGGGGGTAGCAGGAGTGTTCAGGGACTGGAATGAGAGACCATAGAGTGGAATGACAGCCCCTGGGGGTAGCAGGAGTGTTCAGGGACTGGAATGAGAGACCATAGAGTGGAATGACAGCCCCTGGGGGTAGCAGGAGTGTTCAGGGACTGGAATGAGAGACCATAGAGTGGAATGACAGCCCCTGGGGGTAGCAGGAGTGTTCAGGGACTGGAATGAGAGACCATAGAGTGGAATGACAGCCCCTGGGGGTAGCAGGAGTGTTCAGGGACTGGAATGAGAGACCATAGAGTGGAATGACAGCCCCTGGGGGTAGCAGGAGTGTTCAGGGACTGGAATGAGAGACCATAGAGTGGAATGACAGCCCCTGGGGGTAGCAGGAGTGTTCAGGGACTGGAATGAGAGACCATAGAGTGGAATGACAGCCCCTGGGGGTAGCAGGAGTGTTCAGGGACTGGAATGACAGGCCCCAGAGTGGAATGACATCCCCTGGAAGTTTCAGGAGTGGTCTTGGACTGGAATGGAGTAGTAGGTGTGTTCTGGAACTGGAATGGGATATCACTAAGTGAAATGACAGCTCCTGGGAGTATTCTGGGAATGGAATGACAGGCTCCAAGGTGGACTGACGGTCCCTGGAAGTAGCAGGAGGCTTATGGGCCTGGAATGACAGGCCCCAGAGTGGAAGGAGAGACCCTGGGTGTAGAGAAAGTTCTGTGCAACTGGATTTGCAAACTGTAGAGTGAAATACTTTACATTTAAATATTTCTGGAATGTGTGTAGCTATCACCAGATCAGCTCCATCTCATTCCACTCCGTGGTCTCTCATTCCATTCCCATAGTAGTCTATTTGGGCCCAGAGACTCTAATGGAAAATCCATTCCGCGTTTTTATTGCAACTCTACTTTTACTGTAATGTATTTCAAGGGAGCCCATGCAAGTCAATTGTCATTCCTGGCTCCCATTATTTTCAATGGGCCTTCAAGTGTTTCCCATTCTTTCCAATGGGCAATCCTGTCCTTCCTTTTAGTACATCCCCTCGGCAGGACCTCCTTCGCCAGCCCGCCTCCTGGCCTCTTCATGGTGGGACAAGCTTCTGCTGAATAATGGCCTCCACTGAGGATCTAGACTTGATCTTTCCTGCTTACACTGGTTAGATTTAGGAAATGTGGAAATGGAGCTATTGTAATTTCAAGAAAGCTCTATCTGGAAAAATAAATTCTATGACCTGTGTGAAACACTTGAGAAGATAGAAGAATGGCTTTCCTTACTTTGTTTGGATCATCTTATGCTTGTGAGCAGCTGTTTTCAGCTTTGAATTATATCAAATCTTACACCAGAAACAGACTAACAGATGACCTGAGTGCTGCATGTGTTGCTCTCAAACTTACAAAGTATGAGCCAAGGTTAGACAAATTATCAGCATGCATACAACAGCAAAAATCACATTAATTGTTCAAAAGCATGCCAAATGCAAACTTTTACCTTTCAATAAAAAGTTGTTTGTATCATTGAAAGCTCTGTTATTGTGTTTTTCTTTTAAGACAAAAGATGTTAATGTATGAGTTGTTTTTTCTAAACTAAAACCTCAGTGTTCAGGTTAAATTGCAGGGTTGGCACTTTGCGATAAATAAGTGGGTTTTGGGTTGCAGTATGGGCACTCGGTCTCTAAAAGGTTCACCAACACTGCAATAAAGCATTACACAGCATTACAGATGTCCAGGAGGAGGCACTCATCGATGGAATGTGCTTTAAGATCAAGAAGACATGGTTCCCCAGCTACCTTGTAGCAGGATTGAATAGTGGCTACCACCCATCTGGATATGGACTGGGCTGATGCAGCTGTGCCCTTCTGAGGGCCCCAACAGCAAAAAAACAATGCTTTATCTTTACGAAATGGCCTCATTCTTTCTAAATAATATAAGGTCAAGGGTGTGTAAGGCTTTTTCAGCATATGAAACCAGATTTTTTTTGGGGGGGGGATAGGTAGGACAATTTCCTGCGCCAAATGAAACTTAGATGCTGTTTTGGGAAGAAAATCTAAGCTCGGATGTAAAACTACCCATTCAACCCAATGTGCTGCCAGTTCACCAACTCTCCTGGCCAAGGTAATTGCCACTAAAACTACTACTTTTTGAGTGAGCACAGATAAGGAACATGAGGCCAAAGGCTCCAATGGAGGCTTTATAAGGCTAGCCAACACTAATGGTAAGGACCACTGCACAATACAGGGCATAGGGGAGAAAACATTGCAAAGTCCTTTAAAAAAATGTTGTGCTAATTTATGTGCAAAAGCTGTAGTTCCCTGTATGTACTTCTTCATGAAAAGCGGTTATGGCTGCCAGGTGTGTCTTCACTGAGGACACAACTAGACCTCCCTGCATTGGAACAGTAGATGCTCCAATACTGATGCTAGGGGGCAGGTAAAAGGACATTCCCATTTAGCCAAAGCCCAGAATTCAAAATGGATCCATTTCCTGTTATAGGAGTACCTCGTTGAGGGCTTATGGACTTGCAGCAAAATATCCCAGCAAGCCTCCCTGCTTGTTGAAATAATACATCATTGTGGTGTCGCCTGTCTGAATCAGAACCTTTTTGCCTCTGAGACTATCTGAAAAGGGGGTTAGGGCAAATCTCACCGCATGAAGTTCCAAAATATTAATATGTAGAGTTGCATGCCCCAAAGGCCATCTGCCCTCAACTGAGAGACCTTGACAGTGGGCACCCCTGTGATGCATCCGTGGTCAGAGGGACCTGAGGAACCCAGAACCCAAACTGAACCCATGAAAACAAACTTTCTGTGGAACTGGTGGCTAGAGATGTGAAAACATGCATCTTTTAAATCAAGAACTGTGTACCAAACACCTGGGGCAAGAAACGCGATCACAGAAGAAAGTGAAACTATTCTGAACTTTGAAATGCGATCACAGAAGAAAGTGAAACCATTCTGAACTTTGAAATTTTCAAGAACTAATTTAATTTTCTTAAATCTAAAATAGGTCTGCAACTGCCATCCTTCTTATCTACTAAAAAGAACCTGGAATAAAAACCCCTGGAATCAAGCCCTTCGAGGACCTGCTCTACTGCCCCTTTCTTGAAGCGCTCCTCTGACTTAACCCTGAGCCCTGGATAAGGGTTATCTTCCGCAGTCAATGCCAATGACAGGGAGGCTGGGATAGCAACTCTAATCTGTATCCATCTTGAACTATTGATAACACCCAATTATCTGAAGTAACTCGGTGCCAAGTGTCTATAACGTGTGCCAACCTATCTTTAAAGTTAAGAACTGTCGTGGGTCTGGGTCCGGGGGAGGCTCACCCCTCCTCAGAGGAGGAAGAGGCAGGGAACAACTCAGCCTCCTCTACAGACAGCCC